TTTTCAAATTATATACATTATGTTTTATCATATTATGACCCATTTTTGGACAGTGACTTAGAAAGTAGCATGGAGATACCATCAACATCATCGGATAACATGCCTCATGACGAGCCACATTCTTCTATTTCGAATGATGAAACATCAAGTTCTCATGATACTTCCATCAGAGATTCGAATGAGGGTATATCATTAACCCTCAGGATACAGACTATAAAAAAGTTACGTTCAATACGGACATGGGTTAGCCTAACCCGGCGACTTTGATTGACTGTATATCGGGCTGTAATTTGTTAATTAAAACAAATTTTTTTTTTGGATCGGAAATTTTCTTAAAAATACAATGGCGTTGATAGATTTATTACATTACTTGTTTAAACAAAGATACATTTGAAAATGTAAACCAATCTCAAAAAATTTTCACAAAAATTCACTTTTTCTTTTAAATTGCATAACTTTATGAAAAAAAAAATATCGACATTTTTTAAGTCGCGTTTGAAAGCTAAAAAGTTGTTCTTTGAAATGGCTGAATTCGTTTTTTGATCCATTCCAAAAAGTATATTTTTTTTTAACTATGAAAATACCCGTTTTTTTGCAATAGCGATATAACGTTACTTGCTTGATTTATCGTAATAACGCAAAAAAAATATCTTAAAGTAAAAATAGTTCTTTTGGATGTTGTTGATTAGTATAATATAAATAAATAACAAAAATTGAAATAATATTAACATGCATGCACGGATACGTTATGCTGGTATGCTAAAAAGCATAATTTTGAGGTTAGAATGCACAAAAGTATATTAAAAATAGTAAATCATACATACCAGAATACTAAAAAAAAAAACAAAACAAAACTTCTACTGCAGCAAATACTCGAAAAACAAATTTTTTTTTTTGAAAAAACACGGTTTTTGTAACGGTGTAACGATGCGCCCCTTACGTCAAGGCATCGTCCCCGGCTACCACCCGCCGGGAGCCGCCCGACCGATTCCCCGTCGGGCGAGGACAGGGCGCGGTGCGCCCACATCTTTTTTTAGCTTTTGAAACGCACCGTGTGCGCGGGAAATCCGCCGCACCGGTGCCTTCCCGCACGACGCCGACGAGCGCCGAAGCGAGCCGATCCCTGCCGAAGCGAGCACGCGGGATCGCGCCGCTCCCACCACCGCGCCGTCGCCTGATGATCGGCCTCCCTCTTGCCAAGCTCACCGCGCTGAGCGGTATAAAAAGCCGGCGCGCTCGACGAAGATTTCACTTCGTCTTTACCACGGCTCTCCGCTTTCCTGACGAAGCTACCTTCCGAATCCTAGGGCAACACGCACAACGAGGTCCAGAGTTCTGGTTCTCGACTGAGGGTTCTCAGAGTTGTTTCCGAGCTCCCTGACACTTACCCCGACGGCCACGGCACCGTGGGGTCGAGCGTGCTCGGCCTCGCAGCGAGGGTTCTCACGACCGTGACCCCGGGATTCCGCCATCCCCCGGTGCAATAAACCGCGCTTCATTATGTATTAATTCCGTTCAGCTATCATATACCGCGTTTCAGTATTTCGGCACACCGGCACTACCGATAATTCGTATATAATATCTGTAACCGCGTTCCGTTTATCTTATGTATTAACTCCGTTCATATATCATATACTGCGTCTGATATCTGTAGCCGCGTTCCATACGTAATATACCGCGTTCTGTTATTGTCTTATACCTCTACACCGCGACAAACTCCGTTCGCCTGTAATATACCGCGCTGCGTCATTTTCCCGTAATATACGGCAACGAACTCCGTTCGTATGTAATATACCGCGCTTCGTTATGTATTACTCCCCTGCGACGAACCCCGTTCGTATGTAATATACCGCGCTTTGTTATGTAATAATTCCCTGCGACGAACTCCGTTCGTATATAATATACCGCGTTCCGTCATTGTCTTACCGTTATACCGCGACGAACTCCGTTCGTATGTGATATACCGCGCTGCGTTATTTTACCGTAACATACGGCGACGAACTCCGGTCGTATGTAGAACACCGCGCTTCGTTATTATCCTCTGCATACCGCATCTCGAATCGAAGACTCGAGTTCCGACATTCCGTATACCGCGTCGAGTGCACCGGCACTACCGACCACTGTGATCTACCGCGCCCCGTTATTCGTTGTGTGTAACACCAAATCTCGAGTTGAATAAAGTGCATGTTACTGGTACATTGCAAATTGATTATTGTCTCTGGGCCTTTCATCGAACTCCCGATCCCGTAAACTAGTCCGCGTTCGATAAAGTCAGGCCGTTACAACGTTTCGTACGACTGGGTGTAGACTACCCGAGTTCAATTTTCAAAATCGTATAACTTGAGCACCAAGCGTAGACTGACGCTGCCCCTTGGCGCTCACATAGTAGCTACCTCAAAGATTTTTCCCCCCCGGTACGGACCCTCACCATTCACTTCCATTGAAATGGCGCTACTTTCAAAATTCGCTCGGGTTACGCTAACCCAATATGTACCCTGAGGGTTAAAAAGGAAGAAACTACACGGCCAAAGAAATAGAGTCATAGAATTAGAAATAAAAAAAAATAAAGATTTTAGAAAATATACAAAAGAAGCAGGAGTCTACAAATATAGAAAAACAGTTAGAAAGAGTTGCGACTGCGATAGAGGAAAAAAAATGAAATAGCTAAAAAGAAAAACGACTTATTAGAAAAAAGGAATGAGTTATTATATTTGTTATTACAATCTAATGGTAAGAATACTTTGTCTAAATAAAAATCAATAAAACAATTAAAACTTATTTTTTAATTAATTTAATCTTAACTTAATTATATTATTTATTGAAATCTGTTCACGATTTCTTGTCTTTTCATTCGGCCATTGTTATCTTGAAATTCATCATTATTATCATTTTCATCGCAACCATGTAATCCTCATTTTCAATATTTTCATTAATATTTAAATTTTCTCTCATTTCGATTTCATTATGTAATATAAGGAAATTATGAAGAGTGCATGCAGCTGCAATAATATTATTTGCCATTTCAGTACTTTGTACATCAAGATATTTTAGTCTTCGCCACTTTCCTTTCAGCAATCCAAATGCTCGCTCTATTATTGATCGAATCGAGGAAAGTCTAGTATTATACGTAGATTTTTCTGGAGTTAAATTTCCATTGTCTCGAAATGGAGTCATCACATTTTGTAGCAATGGATATGCAGAATCACCTATAATATGTCATTGGGGAGGTAAAAGTGGATTTACTTGGTCTGTCAGTCTGACGTAAATAATACTACTCCGAAAAACTGCTGCATCATGTGCACATCCAGGCCGACCGATGAGGTAGTCGATGAACTTTCCTGTGTGATCACAAGTATCTGTAATAAAATATAATTATTGCAAAAATTAGGCAATTTCAATAATTATAAAAAATTTTAATAATTACAAAAAAGCATTTAAATTTTACCTTGCAAAATAATAGAATGAAAATCTTTGCGATTATAATAATCATTTGCATTCCTGGGCGGTTGTTTAAGGACGTTCTCCGGTGGCAGTTGTGCTCAACTCAGACGCACGGAGTAATGATATGGTTGACAACTACTTCCGTGCGCAAAAGTCTGAAACTCGTCTAGCCGCGCAGTTTTACTCGATCTGGCAAATTTTTGTTCCGTTTCCATTTCTCCAATACCAATCATAAATGAGTACGTCCTACTTGTTTATTGAGCATTCTAAAAGTAAATAATAATGGATCATAAAGAAAAAAGATTAAATAACTTGATTTAAATAACGTTGCCCATAAGATCTTGACGTTCTCTACTTAACCTATATGTCGCAGCGGTAGCAACGTTGCCAAGTCTTGCAGAGATCTCTCCCTCTCCCTGCCTCCGAGCAGACGAAAATTATGTCCGATAGTGTTCTTTAGACTATTTCTCAAAAATAAATACCGCTTGCTATATCGAACTTTATTGTCATACGTTACTAATAATATGAGGCATCTTATACTATTTTTTCAAAAAAATTCTAAGAAAACTACTTATTATTCATTAAAATGTCCGTGTCGAGAGAGCTCAACATAGGGATCCCGTGTTAAAAATCGGAACTTTGAAGCTGAATATCTCAAATTTTAGTACCGCAAGGGGCATTGAATAAAACGCCTACGTATAAAACGCGTTTAATTAAACATATACTGAAAGTTTAAGAAAATTTCTAAGAAAACGATTTTGCCGGTGAATGTCCTTAATTGGAATATGACAACCGTCAATGGCTCCTACAACACCTGGAAATCCTCTTGATCGAATTCTAAAAACCTAAAACAAAAAAAATTTTTAAATTTTATTTCATTTTTTTTAATTACAAAAATGAAAACCTAAAACAATTAAAAATTTTTAAAAGTATTCAAAATATTATTGTAAACTGGAAAACACGAAATAATGTATCCTTTCACTTTTTTCACATTCCGCATTATTTGGCCATCTTATAAAACGTGACATAATTCTTTTTAACGCATAAACCACTTCTTTAAAAATGATCCAAGCTACACCTTTGGAAAGGCCAAATCTGTCTGCAACAGATCGAAAACTTTCTAGCGTGGCTATAATCCATAATGTTAAAAATAATTTTTTCGATAATGATATATCATTTTCTCTCTGTCTAATTAGAGATCTCATTATATTTTCCAATTCCTGAAAATAATAAAAAAATTAATTATAAAGAATTGTAAATATTCAATAGTACCTATCTATATATATTTGGTTTCAATATTTACCATGTATGTTCCTCGATGCATTCTAAAATGCGGATGAAATTGGTTATCGTTATAACGTGGTATTACTTCTTCAAAATAATTTAAATTAACAATTTCATCATTCTGTCTTTCACGATAAAACATTTCATCAAATATTTCACCTGCATTATCCAAGGCATGCAGAACTTCGAGGTCGTTTTCTTGTTCTAAAAAATGGGTATAAAATCACTAAATTTTGTGTGTGTGTATGTTCTGCTTTATAGAAGTTGTGATTTTCGTTAAAGCAGGGCACACACACGTGTGTATGTCCTGCTTTATAGAAGTTGTGATTTTCGTTAAAGCAGGGCACACACACACGTGTGTACATATGTCCTGCTTTATAGAAGTTGTGATTTTCGTTAAAGCAGGGCACACACACACACGTGTGTATGTCCTGCTTTATAGAAGTTGTGATTTTCGTTAAAGCAGGGCACACACACGTGTGTATGCCCTGCTTTATAGAAGTTGTAATTTTTGTTAAAACAGGGCACACACACGTGTGTATGCCCTGCTTTATAGAAGCTGTGATTTTTGTTAAAGCAGGGCACACACACACGTGTGTATGTCCTGTTTTATAGAAGTTGTGATTTTCGTTAAAGCAGGGCACACACACACGTGTGTAAGCCCTGCTTTATAGAAGTTGTGAAAATAATTAACGTGAAATACATTATTTATTATAATAACAAGTATATATATATATATATGTGTATAGTTAGTGCACAATATTAAAATATTACCTCACGGCAAAAACTGAACCAGTCGACAACCGTGCTGGAAGAAATCCCAAGTTCTTCTTCGAGGTCTTCCTGTCGAGGAGGGCGTAGTATAAGGAAACTCGCTATAATTTTGCAGATTGTAGCGAGTTCCAAATTGCTATTCCCAATACCAAGTACCTACTTTGGCACTTTTTTTGTAATCGCATTGTTTGGAGACACGTTTCTTTTTTTGTGACGATGCTATGGGAACTGTTTTTCGACATCGAAACAGCAATGTCTCTTTGTTGATGATTAATTTTTCACCACACGTACTTCTCACAATTAATTTCTGATGGCAACACATGTGTTGGATCAGGTAATCCACTAAATCTTTTTTTTAGCCATTAGTTGGATAAAATCAAACAACAACATGTTAAATAATTATTGTCAAATCTGACAGCTACGAGTACGTAATAGGATACATTGGCGCGCTTCATTATTTCTTTAAAATTACGTGATTGTGGCCTCAGCGCATGCGCAAGTGGCCAAAGCGCATGCTCGTATCTAGAGGCCTAGATAATCATTGATAATCATGATTATCTATAGGCCTCTACTCGTATCCACTCGTATCAGTATATGTTCTGTGCTCGTATCGCTGCATTTCGTCGGTATGTCAGATTTTCTAACCCGAATAGTCGTCAACTTTAACGATTAATATCTCGCTTCGCGAGGCAGACCGCCGCGTTTATCTGTCAGATTCTTTCATTTCATGCAAAAACGCGTCGATTGAACATAATTTTATCTATATTTGCGTTCAGGCCCGTATTCTAAATAAATACCCAAATTTTCAATATTCATTATTCAACACTTAATAAATTCAAATTCACTTAATAAATTTGACAGTGCAGTAACACGAATTGAGTATAGCGCTGCTTTATACTCAGTTTTGCTAACTTTATCGCTACGATTGTAGCGAAAAAACTGTAGCGCTACGGTAGCGGTGTCTTACCTAAACGCACCCAATGTCAACATTTCTAATCCTGTTTTCTCTAGAGTCCCTGACTCTAGTTTTCTCTATATCTGTCCTTGTTTAAGGGGATCCTGCAGTGACTGGCGAACTTCCTCGATGTCGATAATGTCAACCTTTCTAATTTTGTTTTCCCTATATCTGTCTTTGTCTAACGAAATGACATCTGTCCTTTTTTCGATTGCTCGCCATCTTACGCAATCCGGCAACTACTGTTGCTGCTCTTCTTGTCATCCTGCATCCGTATTTGCATTACTAAAATAATTTTTCGATGAATCTTTTTTTGTACGCATTGAATCTTAATTACTTCTACTTGCACGATATTATTCCTACATGTTTTCCCAAGGGCAGATGATAAACATTATTATGTATGTATAAACTGCAGAATTTTTGTTTTAAGCAAATATTGTCGTCAGGTGACAGCTGTATATGTGCCCAAATAAGTAATATTTTTAATTTTTTGGTATTTTTGATATAAAATCGCGTTTGTTACCCTAGATTTTTGTGCGGACTTTAATTCTGTAAAAGATTTTTGCAATTCTATAAAGCCAATTAAAAGATCCATCGAAAAACGATAATGTCGGTAAATCATACGGCTGCAGGATCCCCTTAACTATAATAGTAATCTGTTTTTGTTCGATTGCTGCGCCATTTCTCGTTACACGCAATACTGCTTATCCTATCAACCTGCATGTGCTTTTACACAAAATAGTAGTGAAGGGTCAAACTTTTTTGTTACGTTATTAATCTTAGTTTTTTATGTGTGGTATTCTTTGTTCACATTATACGAATGGCGCGTGTATCTTATTTTGTACATACAAACTGTACAACTCCTGTATTAAGCAAACGTTTATAGTAGGTGCAGCTCAAAAATTATTTTTTTAATTTTTTTTATTATTGTCTTGAAATCAACACTCGCGCGGTGTGTTTTCGTGCGTATTTCAATTCTACATAAACATTTTTAAGTTCTGTGGAGTCTACTCAAAGTTAGACCTTTCCCTGCAATTGTCAGTAATTAGGATCCTCTTTAAAACCTAAGAAATTTAGTTTATTATCACTTACTTCAATAGTAAATTGTAATCCCGGGTGAAATAAATTAAAACAAAGGAAAGTGAAATTTTACAATATTTTCGATAAACAAGTTTAGAAAATTTTTTATAATTTAAAATAAGTTTTGCTCTTGTAATGAACATATTTATATACGTTGACATTTTTGCAATAAAAGCCGCGTGATGTCATGAGCACATTTCCGTTTACTTACGGAGCATTACATTATGTTCATGTATGATGCGTGTGAGTAGAGAGAGGTATATGCGTGTCGAGAGGCTGTGCTTTCCATAACGAGGTAATTGTGTGAATAGAGACTCCAAGGTGAAACAGGTATGACTCTAAATAGGTTATGCAATTCTTTCTTCTGAGTCATGTCAAATCTTTTGACAAGTGCGTAATGTTGTTGAAAAAAATTTTATCGCCTTACAACATGCAAATTGCTTCATCTTTCTCGCGTATTATCCGCTGCTACAAAGGAGGGAAAATTGGTCATAGGAATGGTAATATGTCGGATAATAAAAAATATATTTAAAAAATAAACCGTTTTAAGCATCTAAAATATGCTTTATAAAGTGAAAAAATGACTTTTTTCCACAAATTTTCAGATATTGAAATCATTTATCATTTAGGTATATGTATAATGGCGAAGTAGAATAAATTTAACTTAATAAAAGATTGTTTATATTGTATTTTTGTTTTTATATTTATTAATTAGTAGGAGAGACCGGGGCGAAGTCAGCCCAATTTTTTTGGTGCCGATTTTTAACAACAAAATAAATCATTTTAGTGAAATATAGTATACCATTGTAAAGAGTAAACTCTTAGCTACAAAATTTATAGGCATTTTTGGTCTACGTCGCTTTGTTCAACCGGTATAGAGTAAAAACTACAAAGGTGCAAAAATCGAAAAGTCAAAATTCGCGGGGCGGAGTCGTGTCTTCATTCTCGGACTGGATTTTAAATAAAGATACATAATTTTAATCATAAAAAATAATAGAATACACTTTATTCATTGTTTTTTAGTAGAAAAATGGAAAGCGGAAAATAATTTCAAGAAAATCAATTTTCTTTTTTGTTAACAGTTGAAGCATGTACAAACAGAGTCTGACGAGCGCAGGCACACTCGTTGTGTGCCCTACGCCTGCAGGAAATGCACTGTTTTTCATCGGCTCTGTTTTCTATTATCTCCAAGCATACGCAGCACATATTATTTAGCTTTCTTAATTTCGTTTTGTCTTAGTCACGACTTCGCCTCGAACACAAGTTTTAGGTTTGGTCGTTTATAAAATAATAGAAATCAATGAAAATAAAAAACTAAACTGGATTCGTGGTCAGCATGCATTACTCTTTAGAATCACTCACTTTGAGATTCGGAGAGACAATAATACTTAAGATATTACAAACTTTCGATGCGGAAGAAATTTTACTTTCGACCTGCGAAAACACGTTTGCTTCGATAAGAATCACAACATGGCACGTAACTTCACTAAACTCCGTTGGTCACATGGGCACCATAAACCGCGTTTACAGTATTAATGACGAGTACACGCAACATACAGATTTCGAAACAATTGCAAAAACGACTCCGCCTCGGGGCCGACTTCGCCCCGGTCTTCCCTACTATTGCATTTTTAAGAAACACAAAAAAATTTTTTTAAAATAACTAAAAAACACATACATATGACATACGATAGGAATCGGCACATCGGTAGTTAAATGCCAAAACAAACGAAAGAAATAACGAGTTTTCTGTTCTTAGCATATTATAGGATATTTTGACTCTAAACCAAGGTTGGCCAAACATATGTTAGCTGTTTACATGTATAATTGTACAATCACCGATATCTGTTGTTTATGTATTACCGACGTGTCCTTTTTTATTTAATACATATATCGAATTATAATGATTACGGAATTAAGATCGAGGAGTTATTCTCGTGCTGTGAAAGAGAAAAGAAGCTGAGATCAACGTGCACTGCGCGAATTAGTTGTGCGAATCTTCTCAAATTCGAGACTCATTTATTATATTATAATTATGCTATATTAATAAATACTTTGACACTACAATATAAAAAAAAATAACCGCTTTTTGGTTCGTATCAGTGCGCGTTGCGCGGCGCACTGTTTGATAATTACTTATATAGTCAATTTCTTTATCAGTCGAAACAAAAAGATATATATTTTCATTTTAATTATCCTGTTTATAAGGGAAAACTAATCGTGAACTTAAATCAAAAAACGACGTAAAATGTGAAAAATAGGTGAAATATGTCAATATTATGCACATATGGGTAAAATATGAAAAATATGCATTCCTGGATGAAATAAGCAAAAATATGCTGTAACATATAGAGCTTAAAATATAGCATAGTTTTTTTCTGAAACATATCTAGTTAATTTCTTTATT